TGGAATCTACTATTATCATACTGTTATCAACGGTATTTTGTGATTGTCGATGAAGCATAAGTAAATGGCCATTAGTACACCAGGCTGTTTCTAACTGTTTAAATATGAGAAAAAAGAAGAATCAGTATTCGCAAGAGATCAGTGATGAAACGTAAACAATGGTTTCACCTTTAGGGGACGTGTTCAGGAAAAACATGATATAGAATCATTTTTATTTCGTTTCTTTTGAATTTCTAAGGATACAGTAAGTAACAACATTTCCATTAATCAATAAGCAGTCGTCTTATACTACAGGTATGGGATAAATTCATGAAAATTTGTTCTATTTTTTTTTACATTGTCTTATCTAAAGATCGCCTTATACGCGGAAATATACGGTGTATATACGATGTCTCTCAGAAAATTATTTCAGTTCCCCAAAACAGGAAGCTATATGGCTTCCCCTTGAAAGTAATCCCACTCGAGTCTAATGCGCTTTTTCAACCTTCTCTGCCACGATTTTATGCACTGCAGGAAGGATTCTTCTTGGATGCCATCCGCGACAAAATTCAGAGACGGATATACAATATGACTGGTCCTGATTTGGCATCACGTCTGAAGTCGCTATCTCAAATACGTGCTGTGGCTTCCCTCTGTCTTTTCTACAGCTGCACCGATGAGACACATTTCATGAACCCCTTCAACTTGGGGAAAAGAAAAAAAGTCACACGAAACAAGATCAGGTGAATAGGGAGATTGTTCCAGTACGGCGAGTTTTTTCTCGGCCAGGAACTGTCGGATGTTCGGAGCGTACAAAGAAGGGGAAATGTCATGGCGAAGAAGTCAGGATTTGTCCTGCCACAACTCTTGCATGTGAAAAAATGCAATGGTTGAAGAAAGCTAAGATTACAGTTATCGAAATGATATATATATATATATATATATATATATATATATATATATATATATATAGTCATTCACAGAGACTGTATCACAGCTCATCAGTGTGGCTAGACGCCCCGTTAACTCGAGTTAAGATCGAAACCTGACTGAATTGGCATTCTAACCGTTGACGCACGGTAGGGGTGAAGGTGAATTTAAGCGTATTTATTTTTAGATAAACACACACACACACACACACACACACACACACACACACACACACATATATATATATATATATATATATCGACAGACAGACTGTTTCGCTGTATCACAGCTCATCAGTGTGGCTAGACGACCGATTGCTTCAAGCCGGGGTCGCAACCGGCCCGATTTCGCATCAGTCAGAGATTCTACCTCCAAGCTATCGTCGCACGTCAGAGAGAAAGGGAAATTTTAACGTCTTTACTATATGAAAGACGTCAGTGGCGAGGAGAGCTCGATTTTAGTAGAAGAGTTTTGCATTAGTAGAAGCAGCCACTGTTTATAAAATCACCCTTCCTCTCCGAGAACTCAATCGAATTATTTCGAGAGCATAAATAGCATATATATAATATTTGAATAAGGTATATTTAGGCAGCAAGTATTCATTCAAACAAGTTTGATTAAAAAGAAACAATGTCTGTGTTTAATTTTTTTTATTATATTTTTTCCAATTTTCAGCTAAGGTGTTGAGTATTGTGCCCCAAAACTGTTCGAAGTTCATAACTTGTTATTTTTGTTCGTACTTTCGACTTTCGCAGTCATTATCAAGAACCGATGTGGTGTCTGTGTGGTCGTTGAATTCCTTTGTCTACATTGAAGATGACAGATAAGGCACTGCGATTTTTTTTGTATATTTTTCTTGCATGAGTACAAAAGATTTCTTTTTTTTGGACATCGAGTTTGTAAGAACTGTCCAAATGATCTTTGGGCCCGAGAACTTTAGTCGAATCTATCAGACATTATCAAGGATCTTTTTGTTTGCCTTTATATCTAGATCGTGGTGGTAATTTGCTTTTTAATCAATAGAAATATTTTAATTCACGAACACACTCAGCACCATCAACACGCCCACAATATGCTGAGTATGTCTGAGAAGGAAAACATTTCTATTGAGTGAAAAATATACGAAAATTTACCACCAAAATCTACATATAAAAACATCCTTGATAATGGTTAATAGCTTAGTCGAAAGAGGTTGGGTGAAAGCTAAACAAAGTATGAAGAAACAGGAAAATTCCATTATAAAAAAAAGAAAACAGTGCTGAACTGCTATGTAATAAAAATCTTCCTATGTTTATGTCAATGCTGGACAATCTCCTCACTGATAAAGAGGAGACTTAAGCCAACACTGATCTGGTTCTACAGAAGGATGCTAAGAATGCTATGGATTGAGCATATGAGCAAAGAGGAAAATGCATGGTCATCAGTAAAAGGATGAACCCGAAATGCAATTTGCAGGTCAGGGACACTAAGATCAAGCATGTGCAAAAGTTTAAATATCTGGGAAGTGTTTTGACAGAGGACGGCAAATGTGACACTGAGATCCATAGACGTATATCCCAATACGTCTATGGATCTCAGGACGCATTCCAAAAGCTGGGAAGAGTATTGTGAGACAGGAGTATCTCTTTGGTAACAAACAAAAGTGTACTGAGCTGTCCTCCTTTGCAGCAGTGAATGTTGGATGGTCTCCTCAAAGATGAAGAAGAGATTCAAAGCGACGGAGATGTGGTTCTACAGAAGGATGCTGAGGATATCATGGACCGAGCACGTGAGAAACAATGAGGTTTTGGAGAGGATGCAAGAAAGTTGAAATTTCGGGGACACATAATGAAGAAAGGGGGCTTGGAGAATTTGACACTCAAAGGACATATTGAAGCCAAGAAGGACAGTGGAAAAAAATGGACTATCCTACCTGACGAGTTTGTGTAAATGGATGGATAGATGTATAGAAGGATGCGGAGAGCCATGATCTTTCACTTCCTGAAAGGACATTGCACAAAGAAAAATATGAAATGGATATGAATTCTTTAAAAACAGTTGTTACTTAGAAATATTTAAGATTTCCTAAAACAGTTGAGGAGTATGTAGTTCCTGTTTTTTTTCTGTAAAGTTCCTGCCTGAAAATAAGAAGTTACCATTCTCCGCATTGCTCCATCGCCAGACACCTCGTAAAAAGAAAATCCGGCATCGTTGACAAAATTAACCTGGCCGTAGGCCTCGTGAGGGACCTTCAATCTGTGGTTGACTGGGGCAGGAAATGGCCTGTAAACTTTAATGCCTCTAAAACAAAACTGTTCTCAGTTACCCATCATAGAGAACCCCCCTGCCTCTCATCAGGATAGCTGATGTCCAACTCCACGAGATCGCTTCTCTGTGCCTGCTAGGTCTCACGCTATCCACTGACCTGAAACGGAACAATTACATTGAATCAATAGCTTCATCTATCGCAAGGAAGGTTGGTTCTCTGTGTCGCGCCAGAAGGTTTTTCTCGCCTGAGTCCATCCTTCAAATCTACAAATCAACCATTCGTCCTTGCATGGAATACTGCTGCCATATATGGTTCGGTGCTCCCGCTGTTCATCTCGGGGTCCTCGACAAAATTCAGAGACGGATATACAATGTGGTTGGTCCTGATTTGGCATCCCGTCTGCAGTCGCTATCGCACATACGTGCTGTGGATTCCCTCCGTCTTTTCTACAACTGTTCCGATGAGTTACTTTCACTGGTTCCCAAACTGAATGAATTTAAGCATGCTACTAGGTTGGTATCTCGGTCCCACTCTTTCATTGTCAAAACGGCTAAATGTAGCCATCACTTCTACCCCAACAGCTTCTTATCTCACACCTCCCGTCAGTGGAACTTTCTCGCTCCTACTTGCTTCCCTGATAGCTATACTTTTCAAATATTCAAATGTAATGTCAATCGACATCTTCTGATGCCTTGATCTTGATTCCTGCCCTTCTCTTTATCCTTTTCTCAATCACCCCTCTTTACTCTCACTCTCTTTAATCCCTTGCATACTAGTGGCAACTCCCGCCTTGCTTGGCGTGATTTGCTTAAAAAAATGAGCATATGAAAAAATCAATCTCTGAGAACAACACGTCTAGGTAAGAATAACAGATAATTATTGCCCCCCCCCGACGCATACTTTTCAAATTTTTTTTCTGCCTGTTCGCTATTTTCCTAATTTTTCATTCTTATTTTTCTTTAACTTTTCATCATTTTTCTGTCTTTATTTATTTATTTATGTACTATTCTTCTTTCTATTCTTTTCTTTTTTCATTGTTTTTTTTTTTCCAGACTTTTTTTTTTTTTTTTTGTTTTTACAATCTTTCGTTCTTCTTTCATTTTTTTATTTTTTCCTTTTTTTTTTTTCTTTCGTTACTAATCTTTTTCTTTTTTGTTCTTTTCGTTTTTTTCTTTTTTTCATTTTTTTTTATTTCTTTCCAAATTCTACAATATTCATTTTTTCGTTCTTTTTACTTTTTTCTCTTTTCTTTATTACATTCCTTTTCTTTCTTTCTTTCTTTTCCTTTTTCCTTTTCTTTTCTATTCTTTTTTCTTATTTCTTTAATTCCTTTTCTTTCTTTCTTTTCATTCATTCTTTCTTTTCTTTCTTTTCCATTTTTTCTTTCTTTCTTTTTTTTTTTACTTTTGCCATTATTTCTTTTCTTTTTCTTTTTTCTTTCTTTCTTTCTTTCTTTCTTTCTTTCTTTCTTTCTTTCTTTCATTTTCTTTCTTTTCCTTTTTTTTCATTATTTTTCTTTTCTATTCTTTCTTTTTTCTTTCCTTAATTCCTTTTTTTTTTTTCATTTATTCTTTTTAATTTTCCATTATTTCTCTTTCTTTCTTTCTTTTTCTATTTTAATTTTCTTTCTTTCTTTCTTTCTTTTCTTTATTTACTTTTCCGTTATCTCTCTCTCTCTCTCTCTCTCTCTCTCTATTTCTTTCTTTCTTTTCATTTTGCATATTTTTCTTACGAAACATTCTCTCATTTGGAATCCTTTCTTTTCTTTGTTCCATCATTTCTTTTCCTTTTTCTTTTTCACCCATTTTTCTCTGTTTCCTTCCTCAGGTTCTAATTCTTATCCATGAACAGTTCACCTATTACTACCTTCCTTATTATCCAAATTCCAGCGTCTTCCCTTCTTTCTGTCTGATTCGAACTAGCACCCTAAAACCAGTACTTCCATCTCCCACCCAATCATCTTCTATTAATAAAACCCCTACCGCCATAGTCAATATTGCAATACTACGACTCCCACTACAGCAATCGCCTCCAGCACTACTATTCTTACAAGTGTTGCTGCATAGGTTCTTTCTCTGCCTACTCCTCCAGACTCCATTGCTACTGCTACCATTCAGTAAGTCACGTGGTCAGCCGTGTGCCAAAAACTTCATTAGGCCAATACAAGAAGCGCCACCTTCTGGAAATCGCTTTGTTTTGGGAAGTGAGAAAAGAAGCTGTTCTGACTTTGAAATAACTGCTGTCTTTTATTCAGTTTTTTTTGTAAACATATAACCTTACAAGGTTTCTTTTTTCATTTACGTTCATTTACGTTCTTTTTCTGTCATTCTTCCTTCATTTGACCATTTTTTTCCTGCTTTTTTCCTTCCTTAATGGAGAGAAGCTTTTACCTGCTGTCATTCCGTTTTCCATGATTCGCTCGCCGTTTTTGAATGGTTTTCTGTCCTTACATGCTTAAAGAGTATAACACACGGGCACACACATATATACACACAAAAGATAAATAAATACGAACATCCTGGAATAGATAGTTAGAAAGATACATACAGACATATTAAAAGACTGAGATAGAAAGAAAGAAAGAAAGAAAGAAAGAAAAGTTAAAATACGGAGAAAAAATTATTAAAGTTTCAAACCCTTTCATTATTTTTTACCCACCCTATCTATCTATCTATCTATCTATCTATCTATCTATTCATTCTATTTTCTTTCTTTCTTTCTTTCTTTCTTTCTTTCTTTGTCTGTCTAGCTGTCTGTCTGTTTCTCTCTCTCTCTCTCTCTCTATATATATATATATATATATATATATATATATATATATATGTTTATACACACGTACACACACACACACACACACACACACACACACACACACACATATACATATATATATATATATATATATATATATATATATATATATATATATATAGTGAACTTGAATGATGTGATTTGCTGAAACACTGTTTTAACCCTTTAAGCCCTGACCACCACTTTACCAGTGGTCGAGAAAAATGACTTAATGCCCAGCCACCGGTTGAACTATTTTTTTTTATATCTACCGTGAAATATTACATACCAATTATTTGCGAATTTTGACTTAGGAGATCAGGAAGAAGGGTTAAAAATGTTCAGGGACGCAGGGCTCAAAAGGGGCTAAGGAAAACATGAATTCAAAAGATAAATTTCAACCAAGGGTAACGCTAACATTTTGGTCAATGAATGCCGAAATTTTCCTGACATGAAACGGTTAAGCTCACCAATACATACAGGAATTTATCATTGCTAGATGATTGCTTGCCAATTGTATTACAGTGTACAAGAAAGTAGAAATCAATGAAATACATATTTACCTAAGAGTTTATTTGGAAGGCGGAATATTAAAGGACATATAAAACATATTATTTAAGATAATTAATAATCAAAATACAAACACAACTTTCCAGCTACTTTTGAACTACTTTTTATATATATATATATATATATATATATATATATATATATATATATATATATATATATATATATATATATATATATATGCGTATAGGTATGCAGAAAATAGAAAAGAACACGTTGGGTGCATAATCTGGGGTTCTTAGTATTTTTGTAGACAGTGCTCCATACAGAAGTAGAGCTTATATTATAATAATATTTTTAAACAAAAAAAATATATATATATATATATATATATATATATATATATATATATATATATATATATATATATATATATATATATATAATAGCTAGCCACTCGTATTCGAGGATACTTGTGTACTAGAACGGCTAGCCAATTCCTATTGCAGACGCTCGCTCAGGCACATTTGTGTTTGCTCAACACCCACAGAGCTAACCTCTGGTTTATATCGCAACTATGCTGAGCAGACCTTAGTTACACTTTCTGGAAGAGAGCATGTTATCCAGCGTGATCAGCAATTTAAACAAGGCCAGCACGCCCTCGGCCATGATGACTTGTGGTTTCGTGCTAACATAGCTATCGACGGTCAAAAATCAATTTATTGAAAAAATAGAAAAGTGACATACAGGTTATAATAATCAAAAGATAATTTACTCAAAGAACCAACCCTCAGCATCAACCACGGCCCCGAGCCGACTCTGGTATCTGGTACATGCGACCTTCACGATGTCCCTAGGAATAGCCTCAAACGCCTCTTTAATCCTGGGCCTTGGTGTTACAGGCAGTGTTGTTTTTGCCTTTCCTTTTTTCCTTTTCTTTTCTATTCTTTTTTCTTATTTCTTTAATTCCTCTTCTTTCTTTCTTTCATTCATTCTTTCTTTCTTTCTTTTCCATTTTTCTTTCTTTCTTTCTTTTCCTTTTACTTTTCTATTCTTTTTCCTTTTACTTTAATTCCTTTTCTTTCTTTCATTCATTCATTCTTTCTTTCTTTTCCATTTTTCTTTCTTTCTTTCTTTTACTTTTGCCATTATTTCTTTCTTTCTTTTTCTTTCTTTCTTTCTTTCTTTTCCTATTTCTTTTCTATTCTTTTTCCTTTTACTTTAATTCCTTTTCTTTCTTTCATTCTTTCTTTTCCATTTTTTTTTTTTTCTTTTACTTTTGCCATTATTTCTTTCTTTCTTTTTTCTTTCTTTCTTTTTCTTTCTTTCTTTCGTTCTTTCTTTTCCTTTTTTCTATTCTTTTTCTTATTTCTTTAATTCCTTTTCTTTCTTTCTTTCTTTCATTCATTCTTTCTTTTTCTTTCTTTTCCATTTTTCTTTCTTTCTTTCTTTTCCATTTTTTTCTTTCTTTCTTTTACTTTTTGCCATTATTTTTTCTTTTTTTTTTCTTTCTTTTTTTTCTTTTCTTTCTTTTGTTTTTCCCTTTCTTAATTCCTTTTCTTTCTTTCATTCATTCTTTCTTTTCCTTTTTCTTTCTTTCTTTCTTTTACTTTTGCCATTATTTCTTTCTTTCTTTTTCTTTCTTTCTTTTTCTTTCTTTTTTCGTTCTTTCTTTTCCTTTTTCTTTTCTATTCTTTTTTCTTTCTTTTTTTTTCTTTCTTTTTTTCCATTTTTCTTTCTTTCTTTCTTTTTCCATTTTCTTTTTTCTTTTTTTCTTTTCTTTTACTTTTTTCTTTCTTTTTTCTTTTCTTTTTTTTTTTCTTTCTTTCTTTCTTTTCCTTTTTTTTCTATTCTTTTCCTTTTATTTTTTTTAATTCCTTTTCTTTCTTTCTTTCATTCTTTCTTTTCCATTTTTCTATCTTTCTTTCTTTTTACTTTTGCCATTCTTTCTTTCTTTTTCTTTCTTTCTTTTTCTTTCTTTCTTTTTCTTTCTTTCTTTCTTTTCCTTTTTCTTTTCTATTCTTTTTTCTTATTTCTTTAATTCCTTTTCTTTCTTTCTTTCATTCATTCTTTCTTTCTTTCTTTCTTTTCCATTTTTCTTTCTTTCTTTCTTTTACTTTTGCCATTATTTCTTTCTTTCTTTTTTTTCTTTCTTTCTTTTCCTTTTTCTTTTCTATTCTTTTTTCTTTTACTTTAATTCCTTTTCTTTCTTTCTTTCATTCATTCTTTCTTTCTTTCTTTTCCATTTTTCTTTCTTTCTTTCTTTTACTTTTGCCATTATTTCTTTCTTTCTTTTTCTTTCTTTCTTTTTCTTTCTTTCTTTCGTTCTTTCTTTTCCTTTTTCTTTTCTATTCTTTTTTCTTATTTCTTTAATTCCTTTTCTTTCTTTCTTTCTTTCATTCATTCTTTCTTTCTTTCTTTCTTTTCCATTTTTCTTTCTTTCTTTTACTTTTGCCATTATTTCTTTCTTTCTTTTTCTTTCTTTCTTTTGTTCTTTCTTTTCCTTTTTCTTTTCTTTTCTATTCTTTCTTTTTCTTTCCTTAATTCCTTTTCTTTTTTACATTTATTCTTTTAATCTTCCATTATTTTCCGCGCATCACACATAATAATCCATGGGATTACAATCAGTTTGGGACCCGGTCATTGGTACTGGTAAATTTGTAAACATTATCTGACAACAATTTTCTGGAGGTGTAGCAATGTGCTGTATCTTGCTGCCACACATTTCAGCAGCCACCCTCTCGAACCAAGGTTTGACCCCGGTGTTCAGCAACTTCACATAACCACCCAAATTTGGCACCTCGACGTGAAGTAATGGTTAGCAAGATTTTCTCGCTAGATCAATTACAACTGTGTAGTGAGTTCGATCCTCACAGGGTGCCCCATATTTTCGGCCATGTGCTGCATCTAAGCTACTCTTAGAAAATCACCATAGATATCCAAATTGAGTTTGAGACCCTGTTCAAAGATGTAAGGTGGCATGACACCACCCTCACTGGTGGAACACCCAAAAACAAGAGTTTGGGGAAATTTAGATTTCATGACATGAGGAAAGTCATATGGATTGTTGGCAAGCCATCTGTTGTTCTGGGCGGAGTGCAGCTGAACCTGGCAAAAATTATTTTCATCAGAAAAAAAAACAGATTGTTCCTGGTTCAACAAGAAGTTTCACCTTGTTCATGAGTTTCTTTGTTTTTGTTTTTTCTAGCCTTTTCTGTAAGAAGGTGATCATTACACCTCTTGTATGACTGATAGGAGAGGTCCTCGTTCAAGGCCATGTTCATGGTGGAAATTGCAGTACCAATTTCCCGTGCCAAAGCCCGCATTCCTTGCCTGGGTCTTCCATCACTTTCTCCAGCAGTCAGCAGTAAATAAATCAGTGTTATTGGTGAAAATTTATTTATTTCTCTATTGGATCATGTTATTTAAGTCATGGCAATTATGTGTGAAAAATAATATCACCCAAATGTCCGCCAAGGTTTCGGCGGCACACCTCCACTCGATGGGCAAAATTTTTTCATGACGTCTCTGCATAGTTGCTCCTCGATCTCACCAATATGCTTTATTATCTCATCCTTTAGCTGTTGAATTGTTGTTGGTTTGTTGGCATAGACCTTACTTTTGAGGTGAACCCAAAGAAAGAAAGCTAAAGGCGTCAAGTCGCACGATCGTGGTGGCCAATTGACTTCGCTGTTTCGAGAAAGGATGTGACCTAGGAACTTCTCATTGCAATTCTGCTTGAACGACCATTTTCGTAATAACTTTAACACGTTGTTTGATTGTTAAACTCTCCATTTCACGTCTTATTGTTTTGACGGTGTTCAAAGAGCATTAAGCAGCTGTCATGTTTGCGGCATTTTGATACTCGGCACTAATCATTGTGATGCAGGTTACCCTTTTTTCTAGTATTCAGCAAGGCTTTCACTCATCCATGTCAGTTAACTATAACACCTCTAAAACTATAGTAACACACACACACACACACACACACACACACACACACATATATATATATATATATATATATATATATATATATATATATATATGGTCCGGTTCCTTGTACCACGGTGATAGTCCAAGGTAGAACCAATAAAGAAGAACGCGAACACGGATATGGAATAACACAGATATATTACAAACAGGAATATATACAGAGAAGTAGAAAGTGTTAGTACGAACAATCAGGTTTAGTAGTAATTGCCTGAACACGACTCTGTTTCGGACTGCCTCTGACTCGACTGACTAACTCGCTCGCTCTGACTGACTGAACGACTCCTGACGGACTTCTGACGGACCTCACTCCAGACTTCAGACTGAACAGTATTTAGTCATCCCCTCCCTACGAGGGCATCATGTGGCACAAGGCCGGTTTAACGTGGGATCTCCGAGCCCGTGGGCTCGGCCAAAAATATACCCTTTGAACCCGTATAAACGGGTTCAGGGTCGGTTTAACTCCCTAAATGAGACTCCGCACTTCGGCGTAGCCTCGATCGGGTTTCTCCCCGCCCGAAGGCAGAGAGTTCAACCGATCAGCCGGTCGCCTGACTTCAGACTGAACGGTATTTAGTCAGCCCCCCCCCCGAGGGCATCCTGTGGCACAAGACTTTACAAATACACAAGTATTTATTACGTATGGAATAGTCCATTATGTTCTTATAGGTAAGGTCTCATAACATATATATATATATATATATATATATATATATATATATATATATTTCACAATGCCGTTCACTGTTTAAAGATATTCTAAGCTAACCGGAAAAATAAAAGTATTAGACTCTGTCAAACACCCTGAATATATATATATATATATATATATATATATATATATATATATATATATATATATATAGACATTTTGCTGTAACTAGTTTAATTCTGATCACTCTCTCCTTACCCGTTATATTAACTTGTTCAACCATTTAATGAAAATCTTTTCTAGGTCATCCTATTGTTTTTTTTTTTGCTATTGGCTCATTTTTTTCTTTCGTTTCCTTTCTTTTTTTTCACTCTCTCACTCCCCTTCTTCCCCACCTCTCTCTCTCTCTCTCTTTTTCTTTCTTCCCTTAATTTTTTTAAAAATTTATATTTTGAAAATTTTCTTTCCACTTTTTTTCTTTTTCCCTTTTCTCCCTTTATCTCTCTGTGTGGGCGGATTGATTTCATATCTAAAAGCTTTCGGTTTGAAGAGAGACATATTAAAATATTCATGAAATAAATTATAACCGAAATGAATATTTAAGACTTTTCTTGATTTATTATAATATATATATATATATATATATATATATATATATATATATATATATATATATATATAGTGCTGATAAAAGTAACTCACCTGATATTTTTTACTAAATGTTCTCTTCTCCGATGAAACGAAAGTTGAACTAAATTCAAAGGATAAGCGATCTAAAATCCGAAGAAGAAGCTTTGAAAGCTCTTTGAATTTAGTAGGTACTGTCAAGCATCCGTTCAGTATAATGTTCTGGGGATGCTTTTCTTTTCATGGAACTGGTTTCTTAAAACCTATTGAAAAGAACCTCAGGAGCGAGCAGTACAAGAGAATTTTAGAGTCTTGTCTGCTCCCTTCTGCTGGAAGGGTGCAAATCGACCCCACCAAGCTCATTTTTATGCAGGATAATGCTCCCTGACACAAATCAAAATTGATGAAGGAATACTTTGATGAGAAGCAGGTGAGTGTTATGACATGGCCGCCCCAATCTCCTGACCTCAACCTGTATTTATAATGCTCTCTGTCATTGACAGAGTATGTCTCAATGGGACCCACACCTCATGTGTTTTGGGTAAACCACAGAGACGGGACCAAATTGAAGCAGAAGGTCTAATCAAATTAGAAATGTTAATAGGCAAGACTCCGCTTTATCCCACTTGACTTGGCGTTTTGGAACTCAATAGTTAATGTAGAGTCAAACTTTTCTGTTGGGCCTAACTGAACAGGTTTAGACATATCCTTAAGAATCGGCATCATCTTGTTTACATAATCTTGATAATCAAGAATGACCACAACTGAGCCTTTATCAAAAGATTTATTTATTAGTAATCCGACATTATTCCTTGTTCCACTTGAATTCACAAAAGGAAACTGGGATACCCGCGTATCAAGGCACGATGTCATTCAGCTTTGCCTTAAGATCACTCTGAACTGGATTCACAAAAGCGTCCGACTACATAGGATACCTAGGTTTATGAAGGCGTTACGATAAGCATAATTCAAGACTTCAGTGTTAAAATAAAACAGTATTTAACCAATTTTACTGTTGGATTTTTTTATATACCATATATCCTAGTGAGCGATAGGTGAACTTTATAGTTTTTTGTGAAGGTTGACCAATCAGAAGCCGCACAACACTGTATTCGTCGTGTATAAAGGCGGCCATCTTGTTTCGTCTACCGGAAGGACCAAAGGCGACCAGGAGAAGGAAGAATTACACTCTGCTGTGATATCCACTGCGAACCTCCACTATGCAGTGTTCATTCACTGCCAACCTCTGATTCTAACCGAGGACGAAATGAAAATGTCTAACAATTACAACCGCAAATAAATACTTAACAAGAACAAAGAAGTAAAAATCAAACAAAGATAATTAACCATTTCAGTGAATACCTTGTTAGTAGCGCGGCTCGGCTTAACGTCCGGTAAATCCTAAATCAAAACCCAAATCATCGACGTACAGTAATTCACACTAATTCGACTGGATAGTTCCACTCAATAGTCACTGCAGTTAGTAGCCTGGCACCGCTATTTATACACCTGGTGGAAAACATATATTCATAAGTCCAGAGTGTCACGCTCGATCCTCGGTGTCGGTAATTACTCATTTTCTTCCTATATGACACTGTCTCA